AATGTATTCCAGAGATAAGATGCAGCTGACTGGAAGACACGATCGCCAAGAGTATAGTTGGACGGGTCTTGGTGCTAGGTAACTCGAGTAATAAAGACTCGTTTGACCTAACAGAGTACCTGGATTGCTTTTTGATGCTAATTAAATCAGTCAAATAATTAGGAGCTAGACCATATAAACACTTAACTGTCAAAAGTAAAATCTTAAACTTTATGCGGTAACTAATCGGGAGCCAATGAAGATGGAAAAGCAGTGGCTTAACATGGTAGTCACGGCTTGGTGATCCAGTGACCAGCCGAGCAGTGGTATTCTGTAATCGTTGGAGTTTCATGATATGTAAATTTGGGAGGCCGTATAGTAGACTGTTACAACAATCTATTCTACTGGTTATGAAAGCCGGAACCAATGATCAGTGACTGGACGACTTAAATATTTTCTAATAGAATGCAGATAAGCAGGTTCTTTTAAGATTCAAACCAGGTCCCTAAGTTTCGAACTTCACATGATGGCCGGCAATTTGGGACTCGCCAACCGATAAATACTAATATCAGTGTTACTGACTTTCTGAAGTTGTTGTCGCGTTCCAATCAAAAGACATTCTGTCTTATCCGAATTCAGTTTTAACTTATCCGTATGCATCCACTGACTAATATCAGCGATACAAGATTCCTTGGCAGTTACTTTAAGGCAGCGATTTCCTCCAGGTGATTTCCTGGTCTAAACGCGATAAACAGTTGTGTGTCATCTGCGTAACAATGGGGATTAGGAAGATGTCATTCGACGATCTTAAAAAGCTTGCTGGCGTAGAGAGAAAATAATAAAGGCCCGAGGCAGCTGCCTTGTGGAACTCCAAATTGAAGACTGAAGATATTCGATAGAACTCCGTCTATGGAGATACGCTGGGTTCTGTTAGAGAGGAATGATTCAAACCAGTGAAGAGCCTAAATCAGATTGGAGACGATGTAAGACAATTCGATGGTCAGCGGTATCAAACGCAGGGCTTAAGTCAAGAAGCACAAGCAATGTGACGCACTGATCTTCCATGTTCATCAAAATGTCATTCTCAGTTGACTTTAAGAAGGGCGGTTTCTGTACTATGGTGCTGTCGATAGGCTGCTTGCAGTGAAGGAAAAAGATCATGCCCACTACCACTCTCACTGGGCTTGGAGTACCTGTCTTGAATCAACACAGGTACTCCAAGCCCAGTCGGAGAGTTGGTATCATGAGATTAAACCGCGGTGCCGTCAATCTGTCACCGTGGCCGTCAAATCAAGCTAAGGATTTTTGTGGAAACCGTTGTAGCGAATTTAGAAAGGAAATTATACACACTTTCTCTTAAAAAAATGAATGGATAGAAAGATAAATATGGGATGTTTGGAGAGCAGTTGAGAATCGAAGGCTCTTATAAGCCACACCTTGTTCAAATCTTTACTTTCTTCTTGCCCTTCAAATTTTTCTCTTACACCAATAGATCGATATGCGAATCCTAAACCTGAACCCATTTTGAAATTTCAAGGTTTATTCATTCATTATGATGCAGAAAGATTTCTTTTGGAAAAAAAAAAAGATTCCGCTTTAAGTAAAGCAAATTGAACTTCTAGCTTGCTTCTCTTCGTTATGTACGTTTACCGTGCGTTACCATAACAACTGCTCAGAGTGGAACTAATTCCCATTCAAGCGGAATGCCTACATATGCGAGTGTAAACATGAGTAGTTAGGGATTAAAAAACGCCGGATGGAGTTATAAACTCCTTGTGGAAAGCAACAACGGGCGTCCAACGTCGGATGGAGTTATAAACTCCTTGTGGATTTCCTTTTTAAAATGCAAAAGTGTGAATTTTCGATCTTTACAGTCACAAACAACAACGAGCCATTTGAAGAATTATTCGCGGGCTTAACATGACAATCGCGGGAGGCGTCTGGCTCTAGTCACTTTTCGTTTCACATTTCGTAAAGGGCTCTTCAATTAATCTGACTTATCACGTGACCATTGGTTCACTCGCTGTTCGAGATTTCGGACATTATCCCGTATCTCCATCACTTTCCCTTAATCTCAAAAAGATAAAGCGCGCACAAATACCCGCTTACTATGACGAATTCGTTTAATTTTGATCCAAATTTTTTAGAGAAAACCATGAAATTATTTATGAGGTCGTTCTCTATAGTTAGTCTCGTAATCATTGGCTCCTTGCTGACACCTGACTGTCTAACTCTTAAAGGCTTTTAGAGCGCCAATCCCTCATAATGATGAACTAGTCCAAGTTGAGAGATTAACTGAAGGAATTACTGGAAAAAAGGATGGATCTATTCTTTCATTAAAACAGAAAACCACCCTCCTTTATTCACGGGTCTCCAATCATTTCACTGTTGAGAAACTCGTTTCAAATATCAGGTTTTGGCTGTAAAAGAAGAAAGACGTAAGAATGATTGTAAGCTCTTTCCACGGGAGGTAGGAAACTCTTTATGAGAAATGAGAAAGTTTTCTTTAAAAATATAGCAGCTAACTGGCTCAAAATGACGTTATTCAGTTTACTTTAATTTGAGTCTTAGTTGCCATCTTTTTGAAGCAGCAAAGTCTTGTAAAGGTAAGTTATCTCAAAGTCCTTTCTCCTGTGATACGTAAAAGTAATTTTTCTTTTCAAAATACATGATATTGTTGTGATAAAGATTCTTGTGCCTCTTATTTACTTTTCTTTTCTTCTGCATTAAGTTAGTTCTAACTGCCCTAAAGTTCTTGTCTTCTCCTGCTTCGTTCTCAGCCGTTCCGACTGTTCCGACGTTCCTATTTTTCAGGCCTCTGATCTTAGATTTCCGGTATCCCTTGACACCTCAGATGCAAGCGCGGCAGATTTTGTCCCTGATCGACCGGTTGATCACAACAAGACTGGCGTGCAGAGCAGGCGTAATTTTAACGATCAGGCAGCTTACTGTCGGATTTTAAACATTTTAGCCAGTGTCATCAACTGATCAACATGTCTGATGAGGTGGTGAAGAGGCCCGATGAAGAAAAGTGCGACACAAACGCAGAAGAAAGCCCAAGGATACAAGCCGTTGAAGATGGCGGCGAGTCAACAGAGCCGAAAAAAAAATTTTCAGTTCTGAAGGTGAAATTTGGACCAGAACCTTCTGGAGACACTAACGGAGAAGACTCGAATGAATCTCCTCCACCATCCAGTCCGATCAAAAGCCCGCAAACCCCTGATATGTACACTACCAACGAAGCCATTCCCATGACTATCTTTTATCGCAGTCAGCACTCCCACGGACAGGGTGGAAAACAACGGCCTACACTGCAGCAGCTACGTAAAGGCCTAGAAAATGACAAGGTATGGACGAATTTAAATGATTTAGAGTGGTCAACCGTAGAAGAACGAACGCTCTTGCGCTTTTCATTTTCGAATCTTCGTTCGTACGTTTGTCACGTGCAGTGCTGTCTTGCGTTTTCCCAGATCGGTGATGAGATCTTTTCACCGGTGAATGTTTTCCATTTTTCCATAAATTTATCTTGATTAGGGGCTTAGACGATGTTATTTTGATACGCGACGGTAAAGCTAATTTGTATTCTGAATAAATGAAATTAACAAGGGTTCGATGAGAAAATAGAGCTCCTAGCTAGGATTATGAAAAAACCGAACAAGACAGGTGCACTCTTCTCAGGTCCCATCGATATTTAGAAAGCGAAGTAATAGTGTGTCTTTAAGTCACATCACTGTTAAAAAAAAGCAGCATCATCAGCTTTAAAATATTGCTGCTAAGTCGAAGTGTGTTTGAATCCTTGACACGCTCCATTTGATTGATTGATTGAATGAGCACGGATCAAAATCACTCTCGCCTTAATATGGACTATAGACATACATATGTGGCAGCTCACTTAGGCCTTTTTTTCTTGTAATAGCTCTGTCAAAGCTTCTTATTATAAATAATTAAATTTGATAAAATTTAAAAAAACTTGGCGTGCGGATTAGGCAGGAAAATTGTACTTGAGACATGTAGAAATTGCGAGATTATGCGCAAACTAAAATATGCAAATATGCATAAAATTAATTTGAGGTGTGGTGAAAATCTTAATATTCAGTCTAATTAGAGATCCTTACTTGTGGAACAATCAACCATAGTTTCTGTTGGTTTATTGGGGTATTAATACGTGCAGCATGTTTGGAGAACCAGAGGAAATGTGGCCATTGCCTCTAACAAAGTACAAACCAGTTTAACTTCACCTGTCTAATGAAATGTAGCTTATTGATAAAAAATTTGAATAAATTTAGTATTTCATCCGTGGGAATATTAGGATAAATTTTAAAATATGATATAAAATCAAGATATTTACAGTGTTATGACTTCCTTTTCTTTCTATTTAGTTATTTTTTAAGTATTTGCTTTTGTCTTTTGCTTTTAAAATCATCTGCAAATCATACAAAAACTAATTCAGTGGCGCACATACTTTTCTTTTTTTTTTTTTACCCACTGATCACGAGATTGCTCATCAGTGGAGTGGGAACCCATTTTCATGGGATCCCATATATCAACACCAAGGGAAGCCACAAGGGTTGCTAGTGAAACTACAGATTAATATATTTAATACTATACAAACAAAAACTAATTCAGTGGCACACATACTTTTCATTGATGATAAAAATTACTGGTATACATACAATCAACTATTTTGTTATGGAACCGCATTGAATTAAATTATATTTACTGATGCAACTTTATTCTTTGATTTCTATTTGGTGCTTTCAGGGCTTCACACTAATGGTAACAAAATAGCCACAGACTTGTAGAAATTCAGTTTTGGCTAGTGGTTTTCAATTTTCACCAGCCAGTTGGCTAGTAAGTTGAAAAATTAGTGTCAAGCTTTGTGCTTTGATAAATGAAACCAGCCTGCAATTACAGAAGGAAATCATAATGAGCCAGGCTGGGCTGGCGGCTCATTATGATTTCTGGGCCATTAAGTGATCTTTTTAATTATTCTATATCCATTAATACTATACCTAAGTATTGGAAGTTTGGGCAGATTACACTTGTATTCAAAAAGGGCATTGAATATTCTAAGACTAATTATAGGCCTATTACTGTTCTTGCAACTTTTAATAATGTATTTGAACGTATCCTTGCCAACCAGCTATATTCCTATTTTTCTGACAAGTTATCCCCATTTTTATCTGCTTATGGTAAGTACTATAGCTGTGAGACTTCTTTGCTTCACATATTGGAGGAGTTCAGACATAGCTTGGACAAGCGACAACTTGCATCGATCATCGGAATTGATTTGTCGAAAGCATTTGATAGTATACCACATGACCTGCTGTTAGCCAAGCTATCTGCCTATGGTCTTAATAGCAGTGGCTGCCTGTTATGCAGAGTTAATAGAGGATTATGGGAGAATTACATTACAGATCGCTTTCAAAGAGTTTAAGCCTGGGGATCAATTCTCCAATTGGTGTTCTCTTACTAGGGGAATACCACAAGGATCTGTATTGGGTCCTTTATTGTTTAAGATCTATATTAATGAGCTATTTTTCATTAGTCTGTCATCCAAAGTCAGTCCATATGCTCATGATACCCACATCTTCTCCACTGGTAATGATTCCTCCTCGATCCATCAGCAATTWATGCAAAGCAATCTTCTCATTGCCAGTGAGTGGTTTAGCAGCAAGGGTTTAGCGGTTAACCATGATAAGTTCCTCACCATGTGGTTGGGTAATACTGGTCAGGGGATATACCTACCTATGATCTTGGTGGTAGTGTGGTTAGTTTAGTCCACAGCATGAAATTGCTGGGTGTTACTATTGATAAAGATCTCAATTTCACTGAGCATGTTGTGGACATAGTATGCAGAGTTAGCTATCAGATACAGGTCATGCAAAGGCACAAGAAACTAATTTACACTGACACCAAGACCAAATTATACAATGCCTATCTTTTGCCACATTTATATTACTGCTGTGTTGTGTGGCACCATTGTGGTCAACATAATTTAAAGAAGTTGGAGAAAATTAATGAACGTAGCCTACGATTTGTTTTTAATGGTAATGACAGTGATTATATGCAACTACTTGATTGTGTGGGACAACCATCACTATTTAATGGGCATGTACATTATATCCTTACATTAGTATACAAATCTCCTAATGGGCTGGCACCAGAATATATTACTAATATGTTTAGTCCAAAAACCCACGGCATCAATCTACGCACTAGTGGTACACATTCTCTTTTTATCCCTCGTGTCAATACTACTACATATGGCCTGTACTCTCGATCTTACTATGGTAGCTAACTATGGAACTCCCTTCCCAACATGACTAGGTCACTGCCAACAGTTGGAGCTTTTAAATCGGCTATTCGTAATTTAGAATTTGATCCTGACTGCTGTCCATTCTGTAAAATGGCAGAAGAAATAGGCAGAAGACTAGGTGACCGATTCCGGGAACAACTTCGGGACGTGGAGAGGAATGACAAGGACACATCGAAACCAGTTGCTAGACATTTTAATTTACCCAATCATTCTAAGCAACATATTGGCAATCTGCGGTCTTTCCTTACACTTAGGTAGAATGGAAAGCTGCAAAACTCTTCAACAAAAGCTCATCTTTCAAACTGGCAGTCTAAATCCCACAGGTATCAATGAATGCTTTTCATTCCACTAATCTATTCATGTTTTCCTTGTTGCCATGTTCCCACCAATCACGTAGCTCCATTTTCTGCCTTTAAAAGCACACACAACCCACAATTCCTCTATTCGCTCCGACGTAGGGCTAACGCTCGAAACGTCAGCTTTTATAACCGTAACGGTGGCCAATTTAGTTGACTCCTCTAGGCAGTGTACTCGAGTAAGAAGAGTCCAACTGAACTATCATACTGATATATCGAGCAATTTATACTCACTTCAAATTTTCCTTTTTATTTTTTAAGGCAGAATTTACAGAGGAACCTGCCCCTCTGGATGATAGCAAATTAGAGGATGGCCAGGATTCTATAGAAATAAGAAATGCAAAGAGTGCACCAAAGTTTGGTTGGATCAAAGGCGTGCTTTTTGGCTGTCTCCTCAACATTTGGGGTGTGATGCTTTATTTACGACTCTCCTGGGTAGTGGGACAAGCTGGGATAGCCTTGGCTTCTGTCATTGTAATTTTGTCTGCAGTGGTAACTACAATGACAACATTATCATTGTCCGCAGTTTGTACCAATGGTGAAGTCAAAGGAGGTGAGTAAGTATAATGAAGCACAATACATTTTATGTCTGATTTACAGGCAATGACATTTCAAAGCAAAGGGCTCAACTTTGAACTTAATGTATGAAGCCTTCACAACTATTGATTTGGTATCCAATTTGTTCCATGGTCATTTCTTTCCAAGTCAGTTCGTCCCAAATTTTGGTCAGATCATTCCAAAGTATAGTCACCTTGTTCCTCTACAAAATCATATCATTTTAACTCTTTCACCCCCAAGAGTGACCAAAGGAATATCTCCTGACATTGTCAAGGTTGTCAAAGATTTTGAGTAACCAGACTGCATGTGGTACAAAGTAGGCTGCACTAAAGGTGGAAGGCCCCTCTAAGCTTATTGGTATATCAGCACATAGCATAATCCTTAGTAGTCTCCCTCGCTGCCGTTTTTAGTCTTGTCACGCAACGATCCTCCCCACAAACAAACAATATGATTGGTTAGACTACTTTGGCGCGTACGGTTCTCAACATATGTAACCCAAATGGTGATTGGTTGACCGGTGGAAAGGATATAGTGCTTTACTGCGAAGGATCGTGCACATATACGGAAAGAAATGTTGTTCGAATGTGAGCAGCCGTTTGTGGGGAGGAGCGTTGCGTGACGAGACTAAAAACGGCTGCGAGGGAGACTAAATCCTTAGTCATAATTGATATAATTATTTTGTTCACAGTTTGAAATTTTTGCAGTTGTGCAACAGGCCTCCCGGTTAGCTCAATTGGTAGAGTGCCGGACTGTTGTGTGGGAGGTCGTGAGTTCAAATCCGGTCGGAATAATTGTAATAATTTCTGCAAACGGTTAGACTCTCTAGTCTTCTCGGATAGGGACGATAAATGGAGGTCCCGTCTCACAAGCCCTTATATGTGATTTAAATTTGTGGGACGTTAAAGAACCCACATACTCCTCGAAAAGAGTAGGGTACGTAGTGCCCGGTGTTGTGGTCTATCTTTGTTTTCTATTGTGTCTATCCAGGGTGAATTGGGGGGAGGGGTGGTGCCTCGCATGGACCTTGTGTTCCGTTCGCACTAACCCTTCCAGGTCTAGTCACACCCGGTAAAGTCGTTAAAAACTAAAAACAAAACAAAAACAAAAAAACAAAAACAGGCCAATTGTAAAATGATAGCTTCGGGTTTTTCTTTTCTGCCATGAATATAGGAAATTATTTGCTTCTATATAATTGACGATTTTTTACAATAACGGCAACAGAAGTATCAAGCTTGAAGTATTTTTTGAAGTATTTTAGGGACAAACATGTTTAATTTAATTTCAACTTTAAATTTCAAGACAGTACAACAGAGAAATCAGAAATCCACTGAATTTTTTCCTTCTTTTGAGTGTATGACTAACCCGCAAAGTAACGTTGGCACCCTGGGTAATAAAACAAGAAACCTAATTTCTCTGAACAAAATTCATTGGTGCAAATTAAATATCCAGCAAACGTGTTTCTCTCGTAGGTGGTGCTTATTATCTCATCTCCCGCAGTCTAGGACCTGAGTTTGGAGGTTCCATTGGGATAATCTTCTCAGTGGCTAGTGCTGTGGCAACAGCAATGTATGTGGTTGGTTTTGCAGAAACAGTGCGCGATATTCTCAGAGACAACGGCTCCCTTATGGTAGATGAGTCCAATGACATTCGTATTGTAGGCCTCATAACTGTTGTCATTTTGCTCGGCATCACCATGATTGGGTTGGAATGGGTCGTACGTGCACAAATGTTACTACTTATAGTGCTAGTTATTTCCATTCTTAATGTGCTGATTGGAACTTTCATTGGACCACAGTCTGTCGAAAGCCGAAGTAGAGGTTTTGTTGGGTACCAAAAGGAAATGTTTGAGACCAACTTTGCACCCGGTTACAAAGGCGAGAGTTTCTTTTCTGTCTTTTCAGTGTTCTTTCCTGCTGCAACAGGGATTTTAGCTGGGGTGAATATATCTGGTGATCTCAAAGATGTGCACAAGGCTGTTCCCAAGGGAACCTTGCTGGCTATTTTAATCAGCACCCTTGTGTACATCATGCTGGCCTGGTTTGTTGGTGGATGTGTCGAGAGGGAAGCCCTGGGGTTTGTGCAGGAGGTTTTGCAAAATACAACAAATGAGACTTTGGCTTCTTGTTTAGAACAGGAGTGTAAATATGGGCTTCTAAATAATTTTCAGGTAAGGTCTCCGTTATTTACATGTATTATATTATCTTTTTTTTAACTTGGAGGGGAACCATAGAAAGGGAAATGATGAAGGATGAACATATACAGGGCCAGCTTAACTTACTAGCAACTGACCCCTTAGCTGTAACCACCTCCCGGTTAGCTCAATTGATAGAGCGCTGGACTGTTGTGCGGGAGGTCGAGGGTTCGAGTCCTGGTTGGACCAATACTCAAGGTCTTAAAATAATTGAGAAGAATATGCTACCTTTCTATAACATCAAGAAATGGTTAGGTATTCTAGTCTTCTCGGATAGGAATGAATAAATGGAGGTCCCGTCTCCTGCAGGGTTGGGGTAGGAGACGTTAATTCCCCCTGCACGAGATTGCTATTTGATTGATGTCCTCCCTCGGAGTGGGATGGGTGGGTTTCTAAATACCCGACCCCAGCAGCTCTGCTGAATACTCCATCGTGTATAAATAAAGAAATCAGTCAGTAATGTACACAATGTCGAAAACTTCCCCAATTAACAAAAAATGAGGCCAAATGCTTCGACATTTGAGTTAGCAATCAGTTAATTGATTTCTAACTCATTTATTTAGTTATCTATTTATTGATTTTATCTTCTAAGGTTATGGAGGAGGTGTCCGGTTGGGGTCCAATTGTAACAGCGGGAATCTTTGCATCCACTTTGTCCTCTGCACTTGCGAGTCTTGTTGGAGCACCTAAAGCATTCCAGGCAGTTTGCAAAGACCAGCTTTTTCCTTACATAGATTTCTTTGGCGTTGGTTATGGACCTGGCAATGAACCTCGAAGGGGCTACATTTTGGCTTTCTTTGTGGCGGCAGCGTTTATCGCCATCGGAGATCTAAACGTGATTGCCCCTATCATTTCCAACTTTTTTCTCATTGTTTACGCCCTCATCAACTACGCCGTGTTTGCTGCCTCGTTGTCGCGTTCTCCGGGATGGCGGCCCTCTTTTAAATACTACAACATGTGGGTGTCGCTGTTAGGGGCTATGCTGTGTATCGCTATGATGTTCCTTATCAACTGGTGGGCCGCACTGTTGACAATTTTCATTGTGCTGATGTTGTACAAATATGTCGACTTTACCAAACCTAAGGTTAGACATGAAATGTGAAGGAAAGTGTGTGGTTGAATATTTGAGTCGGTCAATGAGAAAAGTGTGGGGGGTACCAATTTACCCGTTAACTCCAAGCATCTAAATTCTACCCACAATATTACTGGTAAATCAAACATTGAGGTTGCAAGAATAAACGGAATGATCACTATTCGAAGGAGCTCTCGATTGTTAGAGAAATTTTTCTTACTTGTACCATAGGAAATGTATAAAGAATAACCTAAACGACGAGAATATGCATGCTGATGTTAGCGTGTAAAAAGTTGATACACTAGTTTTTATATCGAGAGAAGATTTGCCATCTCTTGCGCTCCGAATGATCAAGTAACAGGGCAGTAGGAATCTGTGGCGTAATGATCTTAGCGCAGAAAGTAAAGGTTTGTTCGCAGATTGTAGGTGGATTTAAAGATACCCTAGCTCAAAGTGGTTATATCGTCAAGCGACAATTTTAATTGATTATGGAAAGTAATATAATCGTCCTTTAGGCTTTTGGTCAGTGGCGACGAACGTAAAAGCAAGCATTTTACTACGGGCGCTCGCCTTTTCGCTCGTCTTAGAGACCGAGAGATCGAAACCACTCAAAGTAATGCAGGATTACATCTGTTTCGCTTCACCTCGCTTTGCAGATAGATAGATAGATAGATAGCCTTTATTTTAAAACGATGAGTGTTAAAGCTACATGAGCTTGTGGGGTCGTTTGCAATTAACTAATCGCTAAATGTACTAAAAATTAAAACCTAGGGGTACGTAGAGAACGTCTAAACTTAAACCAGCGGTGCTTACGAGTGTGGAATTGTAAACATGAATTTAAATATATACAAAGTCATCTTTTTTAAAATTACAAACGGATGCAGACGTTATCTTAAAACTGAATTGAATAAAATTAAATAGAGATTTAAGCTTTAGCCTGAGGTCACGATATGAAATATTTTTTGTCAGGGCACTACAGTTGTTGGTCACTGCATTCCACAGGACCTCCTGTAGCGCGTGTTGAAGCGTCGAACAATTAAGGAAGCGCAAGCCCGAGTTGAATATTTTGTGGCCCGTTTCTTAAAAATCATATCGATTAGTATAGCAGGTAACCTATCGTGGAAAGCTTTATGAAAACAGATAAAAACGTCTGATTTATAATAAATAGACAGAGTCGGCCTATGGGCCCGTTGACATCAGCAGATGCCATGTCTTTCGGCATATTAAAAATAAGTCTCGCAGCCCTACAATGAAGTCTTTCCAGGGACTGAAATAAGTCGGAATTGCAGCAAGATCCCCATAGTATAAGACCATAAGTCACTGAAGGCAAAATGACCTTAAAATAGAGATCCTGACGAACGTTCCTAGAGAGAAATCTCGACTTAAGTAATCCTAGTTTCTTAGCAAATGCAAATGCGGAGTCCAGGTCAGTTTCTCATCGACGGTCATTTTGTACCAATACATTGTACTGGTACAGAAACAAGCGCCGTCTTCCTAGCTGATCACAAGCAAAACTAAGGCTATGATATCTGCTTATGGTTAGACATTCTAGTCTTCTCGGATAAGGACGAAGAACCGTAGGTCCCGTCTTCTGCATCTTCTCTGTACTGGTTAGCAGGGAACGTTAAAGAACCCACACACTTATCGCAAAGAGTAGGGAACGTAGCTCCCGGTGTTGTGGTCTTTCCTGTTTACTGAAATGGGGGGCTTAAAAAAAATGAATTAGTCTGCACAAGAAATTGTAAACTGATGCTAGCAGTCTGTTGAGTCCCCCACAAAACATTATTAAGCGCTTAGAGGCTTGCAATAAGCGCTATATGAATTGTAAATTATTATTATTATTATTATTATTATTATTATTATTATTATTGGCAGTATATACACATCTGGACGCCGATCCTACTCACTCAGGCTAGGCGTTGACTGTGGCTAGCCTAAGTCTTATTTACATACTAAAATTACATGAAATTGCTAATCTACTATAAAAGGTAAAAGTTAAAWWAAAWYMAWWAWYYWAAWWAAWWA